AATTTTCTAAATTGGTCGATGATAATCATCGGCAGATTTTTCAAATAACATGTACACCGGATGCTTTACTATAGCCGCTTTATTTGAACATATATATTGTATAGATTATAGCATATTAGTTACCAAATTAGGTATTTGTTTATTTGCTAATTTGGAATATTCTAATTCGAATATTCTTACAATTATAATAACATTTACGCAAATGTTGTAACAAACTTTCAATCTTTTTTAGTTAACAAAATCTTACTGGTCTACAAAATAAAATAAAACAAATAAAAATTACCAAAACTAGGTTGATAATTTAAGAAAAATTGAATTTTGGTACACGACTCTGAAGATCATAATGAACATCAAACAAATTAATTATCCCTTACACCACGCCTTGCACGCAAATTGTCACAATATACTATATTAGGATGTAACCTATTTCACTGCTTAATTTAAGTTCACAATGATAGTTGGGCGATACAAGTGAGATTTACAATATTTGTTCAACGACTAAAATTATGAAATTAGTTAAAATCTATCTGCTCACTCTTTAATTAACAAATTAAACATGGCTAATTACAAGTTTACATTCACTATTTTCGCTCTTTATTATTATGCGGTCGCAGAAGCATCCTACTGTATGGCTGTCTATTCATTGATATTTTCATCCTTGAATATATAGATTACTACCAATATTTCATTGTACTATTTAGTAATTCGGTTTAGATGAACCTTTTTTTATTTTTCTTAGAAGAGAAAAATTATCCAAATCGTATTACTGGAAATGAAATTTTTTGGTGGAGTCTGTGTGTAAATTATTCATTGACGCTTATATGATAAATCAAATAGTTAATAATTTTTTTTGTAAATATTGCTATAGCATCAACAACTCTTAAAACAAGTTTAACTAGTCCAACTCAAGCTTATAATTTACCTAATTACCCAGTCCAGTCAAATACTGTCTCTACCGATTCTATATCCCAAGGTACAAATCGCGTTCTACGTCATAGCAATTTAGTAGCTTAACAGTTAATTACTCTACGTTAAGAATGTGTTAAGATTGATCGTACAAACTAACTATATAATTTTTAAAATAGGAATATCAACCGGCTATAACATTTATAAAACTTTGGTATTCATTGTAGCACCTATTATAGTTTTAATCTTACTTGGTATATTTTTATGGTTTTATTGTAGAGGTAGAGGTAAAGCTAAAGATAGAAATAATCTTGATGGTATTGAAGGTGTAGGATATTCTTATACTGCACACTAATAATTTGTTATATAGGAGGAGACTTCGATTTTCTTTAATTGTACATAGGCATTCTCTTCTATTGTAAATTTAGTAGACTAGTTTTTCATTTCTATTCGAGTAATTAATGAAATAATGGTAATTCTTGGGTTAAAAATTGCGTATTCCTGGTTGAATATATAATTAACCACTTTGTGCGGCTTGTAAATTTGCAACATAGCATGCTTGTAAAGCAGAATTTATGAGTTTTTAACGGGTGGAATAATATTTTATTATTAATTTGGTGTTGCATGTAAACTAGCACGTTAAATTTATTATATTAGGTCTTGCTTAATCATATAATACATAATAAATTTAAATATAGCTAACTCTCTTTATAGTAAAGAATTATGAACTATGAAACATTGAACTTTAACTTTATATATGAAGTATATATTTTATTCTTTCAATTGAAGCTATAACGAAAATTTTTTCTTAACCAAATAAATAAAAAATCGATAATTATACTGTATAAAGAATTTTGGAATAAATTAGTTTTTTTTTTATTAGATATAGGTAGTGTATTAATTTGGCAAATTAATACGGTTACGGCATGTGCCGTATTATTTGCTTTAATTACTTTGTGCTGCAATGCCGTAATGCCACAATGCCACAATGTTGTAATACCGTAATATTGAAATACCATTATAATGCTATTGCAGTAATGTGTTAAAAACTGTAATGCTGCAATAACATAAATAACATAGGATAACATTCCTCTAGTATTTATTGTTTAAAAGTAATCTTTAGATTCAAGATAACGCACAGTAAATTTACTGGTTTTGTGAATAGATAATCAATGATCATCAAAGTTCGTAGTAAGAGACCTTGATTTTTTTTTCTTTACTGTTCGGTCAAGGTTATTTCTTATAGTTGGGAATAAAGTATATTTTCAGATTATCCTAAAATAAGAAGATTTGTTTTTGGATGTTTTAAATTTCTAAATTGTCCCTAATTTGCTTTATATTTTTATTATTGCAAAAGCAATTATACCAGGAAGTTTTAAAAGCATTTAATAAATATTAACTAATGCACAGTATTAGTTAATACTCAAAAGTGTAGGAAAACAAACCCTTCATAGCTTAATGTGTTGAAAAATTAGTATACCAATGTGTTAAGCAACAAATTTTGTTAACCAACATGTTTCAAAACAGTGTTTGTTTATGTTAAACAACAAACTTTGCTAACTAACATGTTTAGAAACAGCATTTTTTCATGTTAAACAACAAAATATAGTTAACTAGCATTATTTAAAAACTTAAAATTACATATTAAAAAAATCATTTGTCAATAAATTTATTTATTTGTTAATAGTTAATACATGTAATAAACACAATATTGTTAGCTAATAAACTAATAAAATATTATATAGTTATATTGATATATGTTATCTATCATATAAAAAAAAATTAAAAGCATTTGTACAAGAGACTTCTCTGTATTAATATTGTCATTCAGAAGAAAAAGATTCTAAACTGAATATTAAATTATAGAAAATTTAGTGTAATATTATAAATGAAATAGTGTTAGGCTATTTGTCAATTAATTAATAAGTTTAAAAAAAATAAACTACCATAGTTATCTTTAAGACTGGAGATATAGTTCTCATCATTATCATTGTCTTCATCACCATTATTGTTTAGATGGCTTTTAGAGTTGGAGTAAGGTAAATTTTCATAAAAATTGTCAATATTGATTGAATTTAAAAATTCAGATTGTGAGTTTGCAGAAGAGATGCAAGCATCTTTTTTATTCTAAAAATTAAAATTTAAAAATTAAAACTTAATATAAATAAATATATATATAATTGATATTTTAAAAAAAAATAATTATGCCACTATATCTCTTGATTCTTTTAAAAGATTTTGGTACTATGTGTCAATAATATCAGAGTCAAGTTTCACCAAAAGATAATTTTTGTTAAAAATAAGTTCAAGAGCTGCCTGGGTCCAAATTGCATTGGTATGGGTGCATTTATCTTCGGAAATAAAAGCATATATAATGATTAATGCAAGAAAAGTATCTGAATTTAGATTATTTAGATCACTTGAATTGTATAAATCTTCATAAATATTCTTGGAGTTCTCTTTCTATATTTTCATTTGCTCTTTGGTATTATGTTTGGTAAATAGTTTGACCTTATTAATCCAAAGATACTCTAGAGACCTTTTTTAATTCAATGAATTTAGTACTCTTTCTTGATATGATTTGCTAAAAGTATCTATAAACAAAGTTAGTAAACAAATTTTAGCAAATTATTGAAGATAAGTTTGATCATCTTTTCTCTTATAGATAATTTACCAAATATGTCATAATGCTGTAATGTTTAATTGATCTGTCAATACATATTGAATAAATAGCCTGTAAGAGAATAATCAGCAAGGTAATAATATTAAAGTATACCGATACAGGCATCTGAGTAAAATTTTAATTCCACAACTTATCAAATATCTATTTTGTAAAAAAAAAAATAAAAAATAAAAAATAATTTTAAAAAAATTATATTTTTACCACCAATATTTAATATAATAAGCATGTACTATGCAATACTTTGCCATGCATATGCTAAATATATAGCTAAAATTTTAGCTTAATTGAATTAGTAGTTGTTAAAATATAAATAAAAACAGAGTTGTGGCGGCTTAGTGAAGTGGTTAAGTCATCACCCTTTCCAAGTAGCAGGTCTAGGGTTCAAATCCCATGAATGACGAAGATTTGAAAAATAGGCTTGCGTTATGGTAACAGATCTTCATTAAGTTGGGGCTTAGAGTAACCTGTAACCTCGGGTCACACCAATGCTCTGTATTGGAAAGTTGTCACTGTTGGGTGTCTGCGTACTGCCGAGCGGATATAGGATGCTCTGGTAGTGTTAGTAACACCGAGGAACAAGAAGATTCTGGAACCTGCTTGGCAAGTCCCGAGTTGGAGTAGCAGCGATTTTCGATGGTATCACATAAAGGCTGAATTCGAACCGGAAACTGAAATTGGAGAACTGTAGAACCAGGTCCTTTAGTGGGGGAACACACTAGCCGAAACGCCGATTTAGACGCACCATAGGAAAAGGGCATACGCTCCGAAAGTATAAACCAAAGGGAGGGCGTCCTTCAGGCACCTAAAGCCTGGGCAGTCCAACCTTTCCGGGTTGCCAGCTAGAACTGCGAAAGGGACTGATGAAGCTTCCGGATAAGAAGACGGCTAGATTGCGAGTACTGGGATTGTTGTGAACATTGCAAGAGCAAGGAGTACGTAATGGGCAATTAATTAGTAAGGTTGGGCTTGAGATACAAATTGTGTTACAGCAGCACCTCAAAAGGTAGCATGAGATACGAACACAATGGCAGCAGACAATATGTACTAATTAGGAAGAAATTACCAAACATGCAGGTAAATGCCGTGTGAGACAGACACCACTCTGTTGGGTTTACCACAAGGATAAATGCCTTCTGTTATTGACTAAAGTCTTAGGGTCTTTCACAGTAAATTACTGTTCCCGAAAGGGGTATATTAGGAGGAAACATATGACATTGGTTGAAGCCAGAGAGTTTAAATAGAT